AGGAGGTCAGGGACTGACCCACAGTTCCCTGCCAAGGAAGGAGGCAGTCACCCCTATAGAGGGGCAAGGTGGAGCTGGCAGGGCTTCTGGAAAAGCAGCACCCCCTGGTCCCTGCCATGCAAACCCACCAGTTGAGGGACATAGCAGTGACCATTGCATAGCAGCGGGTGAGTGACTCTGGGGCTAGATCTCCTGAGAGTGGACCCTTCCCGCAGTGGCCCGTCCATCTGTCCGGAAGCCGTGGTCCCTATGATGTCACCAACCTGCTGCGTTGCTTGGCAACTTTCCAGGATTAGTGCTCTGCCCTGTCATCCCTGACGTCCCACCATGGGCTGATGTTGCCCTGGCAACCAGATGGGTACTGCAGCTTTTTGGACAGCTATACCCAGTGTGGGAAGTGACAGGCAAAAACAGAGAAACAGGTGTCTCTCCACAGGGTGAGTGGAGTATACAGCCTATCCCTAGACCTACAGAGGATCCTGGCTGCCCAGGACAGGGCTTTGGGAGTGTCTGTCCTCTTAAGAGCTGTGGCCACCCTTGCCTCCAGTCCTCCTTCTCCTTCCTTCTTTCCTTCTGTGAGAGTCTCTGAGTACCTATTATGTGAGTGCCAACAAGAAAAGCAAAGTAAACCATGATTCAGGCTCAGGAAAGGTTGCATCAGAATTGGGTGTTGGAGGATGAATAGGAGTTGGCCAGAAGTAGGAATTGGTGGAGAGAGATGTTCTTGACAGAGGAAGCAGAAGCCAGTGTAAAGAGTGAATTACTCTCTCTTGTCACAGCTTGTGGCCTGGTCTCTGTGGCTTTTTCACTTAGCAGACATTCTATCGTAGGGACAGGGGTCCAGTTCAAATCTGGCTACTTAGTCTCCAGTACAGTTTCTGGCACCAAGCCAGCATTATTAAGGTGTAAAATAAAATTGGGTATTTGCAAAATGAGCATCAGGTCCTACCATTTCCCTCTAACACTAACCGGGCTTACCAAGCCTCAGTTTTCCTGTCTATGAAATGGGGCCAATTCTGAGAAGGCTCTGGGCAGGGGTGATTTTTACATTTTCTTTTGGTTTGTAACCTATCTCTTTTCCTTATAGAAAAATGGAAACACTGGTACAGTGGGCATCTGTAAACCTTCAGATTCCCTAATTATTAGTATTGGACCATTTCTGCTTTATCTCCTTTCTATTTGTGGTTACCTATATATAAATTTTTCTGAACCATGTGAAAGGAGCTCGAGGCAGCAGACATCCTGACATTTGTCCTGAAATTCTTTGGCCCACATCAGCTGAGACAGAGACAGTCTCCTATATAACCACAATAGCACTATCATATCTGAGAAAATTAACAATAATTCAATATCCAGGACAGTAAGGAGGATCAAAGCCTGAACTCAAGCCAGGTCTTGGAGCAGATGGGGGCCTGAGACCAGGGAATGGGGGCAATTGTATCTACTGCCCACCCGGAGGATGGCTGAGGGCTGAGGTGAGGTTGCAGCCTTGTGGGTGTTTGTGGCTGTTTTAGCAGTCTCCCTGAGAACAGAAGAGACCCTTTCTGCAGTGACCTGACCATGGGTCCTGCAGTTGTGACTTAAATATAGATTTCCAATTCATAAATTTCCCCAATTATTTTCCCCATATTATTTACGTAGCTTTTTTTTTTTTTTTAAACCAGGATTCAAAGTCGTCGCACTTTGAAAACAGCTTTTGGTTCTTTTGTCTCTTTTTCTGAAAGAGTCTGGGAGAGGAGATGGGTAATGGAGCCTGGATTGGAGAGCCTAGAGGGCTGGCCCTTAACCTGGCCGGCACCCAACCTGGCGCCCCAGGCTCGGGGCTTGTCCCAGGCGTGGGTGGAGAAGACGCAGGTGGGGTGGGAGGAACCAAGTTCCGGAGTGTGTAGGGGAGGCCAGTGCAGACCTGCGGAGGTTCACTAACGGAAGCTCCCTCCCGCCTTGCCGGATGGTCCCGTCCCTTAGCAACGAGCCCAGCGTCTCTCCCTAGCGACGGGCCGCCGGGCCCCACATCCAGCGGTGGAGTGGGTAGGTCGACCGACCGGTAGGTCCGTAGGTCGTAGGTGGGAGGTAGGTCGGTGGGCCCAAGGGATGGCGAGGTGAGAGCTTTCAGAGGGACCTGTATAAGGCTGGGAGGGCGAGTGCCACAGGAAGGAGGACACTCTCCTGGCCCAGGGTCCACATCCTGGTCCAAGAGCCTCGTTTTCCCTACCTCTGAGAATTAAGAATAGGCTTAATTTCCACCGCAGAGATTTAAATGAGATATTGCATGAACTACATCTAAGCCCCCACTGCCATTCACCATTTCCAGCGCTGTGCCTTCCAGGGCCACCCCACCATCTTACTGGCTGGTTCCCTTCCACAAATGAGAGGGTGCCCAGCAGAGGCCATGCTGGGGACCACGTCCTCTCCCACTTACCAGCACACTTTTTTCCGTGCAGAGGCTGCCATCATATGCGGAGCTGTGACAGGAGGCAGAGGTCTGTCTGTCTGTCTGTCTGTCTTTCTGTCACAGATCCTGTCCACACTGGCAAGGCACAGGTACCTGGAGCTGGGGTGAGATTGGAAGGGAGATGTCAATCCTTGTGAGGGTCTGAGGGATGGAGGGGAAACAGAATTCTGAGTTTGCAGCTCACCCTCACATCTTCCTTCTTGGGACAGGCCTGGATGCAT